TTTCTGCAGCACACGTGACCCAGCAGCTGCCACTGTGCTGCGTGTCCATATGGGCTCTGTGCAGGATGGCAGCACGAGCCCCGTGCCCTAAAACACTGGCACCCACCTACCTCCCTCATGTACAGTGGGTGACCACATTTACCTCAACATATTTTAGCTGGGGCTGTCACCACGACACGAAGTGGGTGCCTGTGTGTGCACAGACAGAACAGAGCAGCACCTTCATCATCTCTGCAACACAAACACGCTTTCATTAGCTTTTCCTCCTCAAGCCAAGGTTCTCCTACCAAACACCAGCACAATCTGCAGGATAACAGCAATGTCTGAACAGCCACCCAAAACCATGAACACCATGGCAGAGCAGATTCCAGCAGTGGTGGGGAAGGACGCAGGAACAACAGGTAGGACGTCCCCTCCTCCTTCATCCTCTGAAGGATTTACACATTACTGCCGCCAAAGCAAGACACAACGTGACAGGTGAGCAGCAGCAGGGGCAGAACATAGGAGAGAGCTCATGGCCAGCAAATGTCACCTTCCCTTCCATGGTCACTGACATCAGCAGAGCCCCGACACACGAGAGCCCAGTGCAGCCCTTATTTCCAGCTGAAGCACATCCCTTCCACTCCTCCATCCTGGAAATGCCTGCAGCATCTCACGCAGGGAGCTGGGAGCAGAAACAGAACATTCCAGCTCCTTGCTTTCTAGCACAGCATTTATTTTGTTAAATAGAGTATGTGCTCTTGCGGTGCATTAATATTTCAGACACAGGATTGCCTTTCTGAGCACACACATCTTGATCCTTAAGGCACTAATGTGCCAATAGTAAACAATGTTTGTTATTCCTTCAGACAAGCCATCGCTTCATGCCGTTTCCAGCCAAGGACAGCCCCACTGGAAGCAGATTAACCCCAGCACTGCTCCAGCCCACGCAGAGGAGCAGTATTGATGGGGCTGTCGATAGCGCTCCGCTCTGAGGCAGGCTGAGAAATTCCAAAGAGCACTCAGCTCCGGAGAGGAGCCAAAGGGCACGGCACTTTATTTGCTCTCCCCACTTCCCTGTACATTTGAATTTTAACACGCCTTGCCTCTGCCCTCCCCTGCTGCTCCACGAGCATTCAAGCACCATTCCCTCATCTCAGAGGGAGAGCTGACACTGGCACAGCACCTTCCCGGGCTGCTCCTCCTCCAGACCCCGGCGTCTTCCCTCATTTTAAATGGCAAAGCTAAGCACCATCTGAACACCTGAAGCAATAAAGATTACAATGGAGAAAAGCATTATAGCAGCCTGAGGAGCAAATGTGGTGATGAATGTGCAGCTCAGGGTGAAATCCGAGAGCAACTTTGCATATGAGGTAATTTTCCTGCAGGATTTTCAAGGGGAAACATGAAAATAAATGGTAACATCTTCCTAATGGCTGTGAACACTTCTATACAGAGATGAGGACTCAGAGCTAACTAAGAAACCTTAGCTCTATTTTTTTTTTTAGCTTTTTAATTTACAGAGCAGCTCACCAGAGTGATACAACCTCTCTCAAAACAGAGCTGGAAGGAAGTGTTAATTTACGGGTGATCCCCAGAGAATTCAGCAGCAAAGAGGCTTCGGGCTCCAGAGGGAGACGAGATGCAGAGACAGCAAAGAAAAAACCCATCTCTGGGGCACAGACTTTCAGTGGCGTCGCAGCAAGCACAGCACATCAACAGTGGGACACGAGAAGGTGTGAAACACCCCCCTGCACGGGCCACCACCCGCCTGGCACAGCCTGGAGCACGAGGCATCACCCTGCCTTCTTCTGTGATCCTCCACCCACTCAGTCACCCCGGTCCCTCTTGTCCCTCCCGAGGAGGAAATGGGAGCCAGGGCACCGAAGGGACACTTGGCACTTGAGGGCAGCACAGGGAGCGTCACCCAGCAGGGGTTGGTCTCAGGCATCCACATTTGGATGCTTTATTCCAGGAGCAGAGGTGGGAAGGGAGTTTTCTGACACTTCAAGGGAGGAATTAAGATATTCACTTGCTTTAACAATTACAATATTCAAAGGCATGCCCTTTCGGGCACCGACACCACCCAGTAAGATTTGTCTCACCTCTCACAGCTGCACAAAAGCTGCCCAGCACCAACCCCCCGAGACCCTCAGCACCACAGCGGGCACGGAGCTCGTTAAGGCCTTTCCTCACTCGGGAATGTCATTACAAGCCAATATCCCAAGGCGGCTACCAGGCTCAGCTCTGTCCTGGGGTGAACCCTGGGCAGCAGGGCAGGACCTGGCAGTTTCCCTGGGGTGGGAAGGAAAGCCTGGACACAGCATCAGACAAAGCCAGAAACGCAGTTGCACAAAGCACATGAAATAAGGGCAGTATTTGTTGTATGTCAGGTTGGAAGCAAAAATATGCTGCACACACCCCGATCCTTTTGTCATTTTTCCACTACACTTGCCCTTGGAAATAATATCGCTTAATATTGCGTGACTGACATAAAATTATTTTTTAATCCTGGTAAAGTAGTGCAGAAGAAGAGAATTATTGGTTGGTGATTTGGAGAAGGAGACGAGACAGCGATTGGAATTGACTATTCCTGTTTGGCAAGATAAAAACATCCCCCTTTCATAGGCTGTTTCCCTCTATTTTCTTACAGAGAAATGTCTTATTTTGCATGCACAGAGAGCCAAGATTCCAGTCCCTGGCACAAGGGCTGCAGAGCTCACTCAACTGCGCTAGCGAGGCAGTGGATCAATCCCCTCTCTCTCCAGGCTCTGGCTCAGGAAGGGGAAGGGCAATGCTGACCAAAACAAACCCCAGCACCCCCAGCTGCACGGACACCGAGGGCCCCCAGTGCCCGTGGACAGCCAGGGTGCCCACCCTGGGGGGCTCCTGAAAACAGATTGGCAGAAAAGAATCAGTTTTTAACCACAGAACACTTTTTAAAAGTAAGAAGGGAACAAAAAAGGAAAAAGGTGTGCAAACAGAGAGCAGCTACTTTGTCAATCAGGAAGAAACAGCGAATCTCACATTCCAGGCAGCAAGGGCTGGCAGCCTCGGGCAGGATGGAGCACCCAGCTCCACCTCCCTGGAACACCTCCAGGCAGGTTTGCAGCCTCTGGCTGTGCCTGTGGGTTCCAGGAGGTGCCAGGAGGAGACTGTCACACTCCAAAGTGTGACCAGGACAGGCACCCCAAAGGGACGAGCCTCTCCACGGCACAGCCCCGGGGCAGGGGCACCCCCAGCGCCTGGGCCACCCTGAGCAGCCTCCCCAGCTCACTCCCTCACCCCTCTGCTCCGTGTTATGCAACCCACGGGCGAGGTTTGGGAATGACATTATTGTGCCGAACGTCTCCGGCGTCTGCTGGGATCTCACAGGGCATGACAAACGAGCACAACACCTCGCACTAAAATATACAACAGAAAACCGTGTTGCTTTCCACGTTTCAAAAACATCTGCTATGAATTAATGATTCAGCTCGTACCTACAGTGACAGGCGCAGAGGAGGAGAGGTTGGCTGAGCACTCACCAGGAGCTGCTCCCGTTCCTGCAGCAACGCTCCTGCCGCAACGCTCCTGCCTCCTGGGGGCAAAATTCGGCACCCACAGTGCCCAGCAGCAAGACCTGGAAGGTGTCCCTAAAACTCCAGCCTTCCACTTCCCACCGGCTGCCAGGGACCTCTGCTGCACAGCGAGGGCAGCCTGAGGAGCAGTTACAGGAGAGCTCTTAAGGAAGTCACCAAAACAAGACGTGTAAAGTGCCTTACAAGGGAACGTGCATTCTTGTTCCCATTGTTAATTAATGCAGCACAGCATCCTCGGAGCACGGACACTGAGCTGCTGGGACGTCTCCACTGGCCACACAAGTGTCTCCACCGGGTATCCATTACAAAACACTTGAGTCAGAGCAAACGTCTGGGGAAACTTCATCTCCCAGGTCCCTGCTGGAACACTACAGGCACTGAGTGCCCAAAAGCAGGGGCAAAATACAGCTCCTGTGAGTGCAGAGGTCCCTCATCCCCCAGCTCTTCACACACAGTCACAGAATTGTTTAGGTTGGAGACCACCAAGGCCATCAAACCCAACCAAATTATTCCATATTATCTAAATATCTATATTATCTCTATGTTATATATGACAAATACACAAAGTTAATATAGTTTACTCTGTATGTACACTGTGTCAAGACAGATGAGGCAGACATGCATCACTTCTCCTGGAGTCTTCCAGGAGAGGCTGGACCACTTCACACATCCCTCCTCGGCCTGACATCCCCAGGGGAGGACAGTCCCTGCACAGTTCCTACCATGCAAGGGGTGATGGACTGTGCTCTGAGCCCTCCTGCACAGCCACACACGGTGACCCTGCACCTCCTCTGCTTCTGAACCTGAAAATGGCTGTTCTCTCACTGGGTGAACACTGAGAGCCCCTCACCATGGCAGGATCTACACCAGGCTGCTGCAGACTTGCCTGGAGAACATTCCCCACAGCACAGGGAGCAGGTGCTGACACAAGGAGAGGCAGTGGGCTTCCTTTCCTGAAGGATTTACAGCAGCATATCCCTCAATAATTTCCTCCTTATTTAATAGGAATGTGTTTAAGTTTGTTTTGAGGACACGCAGTGCTGTTAATTGCTGCTCTAACGCATCTCTAATAATCCATCCTTTCTAATTGTTCATTGCTTGCCACCTCTTAAGTGCTTAAACACATTCACAAACACTAATCTATTCTCTGCACAATCAGTGATTCCTACTCAGCAAAGCACAGTGCAGCAAATTTAATACAACCTGAGCTCGTTTTGCTGCACTCTTAATTGCTCTCCTTGCTAACAGTGTTTCCTTCAGCCCCGTTTAAATCGCAGCCTGACTTGGCAAATTCAGACAGAGGGAAGAGCCAGACACGCAGCAGACACGGCTGCAGTGACATCACTGGCAGGGTGAGACGCCACCAGCAGAAACAGTTCTTCGAATCCCGAGTTTTGGGAGCGGAACTGCGGAAAACAGCCCCGGACGGGAACATCCTACCTCGTAATGGGCCACGCGCTGGGACTCGGAGATGAGCTGGGCACTGCACACCTTGCAGTAACTCTCCGTGAACAGCTCCTGGTCCACGTCGGAGGATTTCATCTGTGCACGGCAGAGGGAAGAGACAAGAAGCAGGGTCAGTTACGGAGGGTGGGCAAGGCAGCACCCGAGCCGAGCAGTTCCCACGAGGGAACGGAACCAACACTGAACTGGTGCAAGTGTGACGGTCTGCACGTGCCCCCAGCACCTCCCATCCAGAGTCCCCAGGGTTATCCACCACCAGCTCGTGCCAAGTGTTTGTTCCTCGCCCTGGGCAGTTCCTGGGCACTGCTGGGGACCCGTGGTGTGCCCCCTTCCCCGCTGCAGTGGGGGCAGCCGGACACACCCCTGTGCCCAAGCAGCACCCGAGCCCTGAACTCCTTCGGCCACAGGCACAGCACCCCTTCCCTGCCGTGATATCCACGTGTCAGCTACTCAGGAATGGCTCTTCCTCCGTGTCTCCTTTCCCAGCTGGGAACACCACACACAGAACCAGCTGCAGCAGAGACGGCTCATGGCTCGGAACACACTCAACCATTTGTTGTACAACACCGACGAGCTTGTGGAGCTTCACAGAAAAGGCAAACAGCATCACAACCTGGGGAAAGGTGGGTTTAAGCTGGAGGAGCACTCTGCTGGATTCCTCAATTTAGGCACGAAAGGAAACTGCTCAGGTGATTTACCGGGCTGGGCTGTTCTCCAGGAGCTGTTTAAATACTTGTGTGTTCCCCAGAACTCCCAACGAGGACACTTCACCTACAACGAGGACACCTGCACCTACAAAACCAGCTTGCTGAGTGCCCTGGTTCACAGGAACACGTTCCTCCTCTGTTCACAGCCTCCTCCTCTGAACTCATAATGAAGAGGCATTTCAGGAACACTGAGGCTTAAAACAGACTGAACCCAAGCAGAGCCAGAAAACAACAGAAGCAGCTTCATAGAGAGAATATTTAAAACTAATCCCTGTGCAAATGAAGAGGGAAAAGAGAGGCTGATGCCTTCTGACTTATGCCAAGATAAAGTCTATTAATTCATGATCATAACAAACCTGGGCATAATGAAGACTGATAATAGAGATTTTATAGAGTTTATTCCACGGATTGGGAAGAAAAACAGTATGGGAATAAACAGGCAATGAATGAGATCTCATCAGCAGACAAAGTCAGGTGGAGAAAGGCCAGTCAGTGCCGGGCTGCACGGCAGAGCTGGAGGTGGTTGTGCCCAATCCCCAGTGTCCTGCTGCCCCACAGTTATTGGGGTCCCTGCACATTTTATGAAAACTAGCAGCTGAGCTGAGATCAGAGACTCCCAGCCTGGAGAGACCAGTCAGCCCCCAGCTCCAGGAAAAGGTTTGTTCAAGTGTTCTGGTTTCCCAGACAAAAGACACAAACCTCAGAGCTCCTCCACTGCTGCCCTTGCATTTTGATTCTGCAAAGACATTTGCTTGTTTTCTCTTGCTATCTGCTGAGGTTTAATCTTCATTTACTCTGTCCAGAGAGATGCTGCACTGAGAAACTTTCAAAGACACCAAAAGGCCCTTTTAGGAGTACAAGAAGTGTTGCAAAATTGCATCAAAGGCAAAACACAGTAGGGGGAAGAAATCTCACTTAACTACAACAGATTGACACAAGGCAAACCAAAGAATCTCATTAAACCTCAATCCAGCAACCAAGCCAGAGTCAGGTAACATCGCCTTCATTTGCATGCAGCCTGCAATGCTCACAGCACAAACCCTCACTGCAAAAATCAGAGTAAATCAAAAGCTTCTCTGTATTAGTCCAGCTCTCTGTGCTCTGATAACAGAGCCCAGGTCTATCCTGCCTCATCAAATGGAATCGTCTGTCCCCCCTTAGAGCAGCAGGGGCTGAACAGGCTCGTCCAGGAACAGGATCTCGGGTGTTTCTCTAAGCAGTAACTTCTGACACAGGTGTGGGACGTGTTCCCCTCGACATCACGGGTCCAGCACCAGGAGAACACGGTGGTTGTGCTGAGGATGTGACTGTTGTGCAGCACAGTTCGGGACCTGCTGCTGTCCCCAAGCTGCCTCAGTCCCACAGAGCCGCCGGGACGACCCTTCTGCCCCGGAGCAGTTGGGTGACCAGCTCCTCCTGCCTGGCTTCAAGCACTGCTTGCACAGGCGAGTCCTGCTTCCCTGGGAGCTCCCCGTGCCCACGGAAGGGCAGCAAGCCTGGCACTGCCCCAGCCTGCAGGATGGCAGAGTCCCTTCGTTGGGCACAGGGGTGTCCTCACGCCCGGGATCCTGGCACAGGGTTCCACTGCTGCTCTTCCCAGGCCTTGCTTTTTCACAGTGATGAAAAGGACAGCGAGGCAGAGGAGAGAGGAATGGGGATTAGGGGGAACAGGAGAACAAACGGAAGAAAAGCCTCCTTCATGCTTTTGCATGAATATATTAGGCTAAACTGCTGCAAGGATTCAAGCAGATGTAAGCTTGGCTATTAAAAATAATTAGAAAGCTCTGGTAACAATAACTGCTCTGAGCAAAATTAAATTTTGACAAAAAAATAACAGATTCACCTCAGCAAGGTAGATTTCTACACAAGCAATCCACTACCAGCACCCATTTATACAACCCTTGCAAAGTTGCTACTGAAACCAAGACAGCCCCAGGACAAGTTTAAACTCAAGTACCAGACTTGAGAAAACAGACTGCTACCTGTCCCCCAGAAATGCAAGTGAAGAGCAAAAGTCTCTTTCCCTCCTCAGGAGTCACCAAAGGATGTCCAGGAAACACAGAGTGAAATGAATGAGGTTTTAAAGCTGCCTCAGTGCCCGGGGTGGCACTGGCTGGTCTCACATCCAGACCATAGGGAGGTCCAGGGCAGATATTTCCCTGGGGATCTGCACAGGGACCCTGCTACATGCAAGAACCAAACGTCTGGTTCCTACAAAGGGACTGGTACTGAGCACAGCTACATCTGTGCTCAGCTGCAAAGGCTCCCCTCTGCAGCAAGAGGCAGACTCCAGACACAGAACCCTGGCAAAAAGAAAACAGCTTTGTGCTGTTGGGGTCTGGCCTAAAGCGGTGCTTCCTCCTCTCCAGAAAAGCTCCCCTTCCCCGCTCCTGTCTCCTCTCAGATACACTCTGCATTGCCCTTCTGTGGGCTAATCCCAGCAGTGATTTATTAACTTCTGCCTGCAAGTGTCATAAAGGGAGTTCATAAGCAATTAATATTTATGTATTTCTAATCACCTCGTTCCACCGTGACTCTCCCTGCCCACACGTGCTCCAGGAGTGACCAGCCCTCAGTGATCTCACCACACAGCCTGGCTGCCCCAAAGGAGGGTTTTCTCTGCCAACAGCCCCCGGCGTGTCCTCGGCTGCGAGGGACACTCGAGGGGAGCTGCAGGTGCTGAGCAGGGTGGGATGTGTCCCTCAACACTCTCAGTCAGAGGCTTTTTTTGCTGGGAGTTGAAGGAATACCGTGGGACTTGCAGCCCTGTCAGGTGGACCCCACCCCTGTGCTGAGCAGAAGGGCTGGGTCTGCACAGCGAGGTGTAAATACCTGACACTCCTGGTCTCCTCCTCCTCGGGTGGGGATGTGCTGGGGCCTCCACCACAAGCATTGACCACTTTGTGTCCTCCAGGGGGTTTATTGTGGCCTCCTGTGCCACACTCCAGCGCCCAGTCCCCTCCCTGCTCCAGATCTGTGACCTCTGCACGTGTCAGCTCAGCATCTCCAGCCACGCTCGCTGTGCCACGGGAGCCCCCCCTGCAGCACCTTGTGCCATATGGCTGAGATCCTCCTCAGCAGCTCCAGTGACTGCAACAGCTCAGTGAAAATCAACCTGACGGGGCTGACTCCAGCTTTTGGCAGCGGCCAGGAAGATGCTAACTAAGTTGCACTAAATTTTAGAGGGCAGCAATCCACAGCTGACATCAGAGACACGTGCAAAGCCAAATTCCTTTCTAAGGAAATGCTTGGCACCAGCTGAATCCCACCAGACAGGGGCATGTGCTGAATGTGTCCCCATCACACGGTGGTGGAAGGGCCCCTCCAGGAGGTGCTTTTGGGATCCAGACCCAGTAGAACAGGACCTCAGTCCAGGCTGGAGCTCCGGCAGGTGCCGACTGCTGTGGCCCTTTGCTGCTGCCACGGCAGCATCACGAGCTGCTGGTGTTGTCAGCAAACACTTCCCATCGTGTTTCTGATAAATGCTGCTGTAATCTCCTTTCCAGCAATCTTCCCTCACAGGACACTTCTATTCGTGCTGTTGCACACCCCATTCTCAAGTTCACTGCCCCCTTCTTTGAGCAATGAGCTCAGTGAATAGGGAAAGAAGTTTTTTAATAATGGGAAATTCATGTCTGGCAGCAACAGTTCCAGAGCACGTGGCAAACATGAATCAGATAGAGGTTATTTAATTCCAAGCTTCACCTTTCGTATCACTTCGCAGATCAGCCTTGGTGGCATTCACTGTCAATTATTTCTGTATTTCAGCCATAAACCACTGTCTCAACTCCACAACACGTGCCTCAGGGACATGGATAGAAGGAATCAGCAGACATCCCAGGAATTGCTGACTTGGCTGCTGCAGCCACAGAGACACACACGCACAACCTCACCCTGTGCTAGGGCTGCCCTGGGAAGGGCTCACAGAATCATGGAATAGTTGGAGCATCTTGCCAGGAACCTGGTCCCTGAGGCACTCAGTCCATCACCTGTTGGTTGTGGAGCACCAGGAATTCCTACATAGCTTCATTTTCCCCATTGTCCAATCAAGGACAAGGAGTGCCACAGGACAAAGCACTGGATTCAGCAGCTCGGCTTCTTCCAGTCAAGAGGAAAGAAAAGAATTGTGGTCCCTTATCCAATATGATCTTGAAGGCCTGTAATCACCTTTTCCAGAACTAACAGCTTCCAAAACCTCTGTGCTGGAGCACAAGAGAAGTGGCAACTGAGCATGTGCACGAACGCCAAATGCTAACAAGAAGCCAAAAATTAAATGTCCCGACTTTCATGTTATGAATTATTTGTGGCTTTTGCTGCTGTCACTCTCCCGTGGATTAACATCTCGTGTAACACCTCCTGTTTTCTTCTGTT